GTGGAGCGCAAGTTGCGCAGAGGGGGAAAGGCCTCTGCGGGGGTGGCTCGCGGCCAGCCAGCCGCTGGCCTTTCAAACTTTACTCATGCGCTCCCAGAGCCTACCCAGCCAGTAACTCCAAACTCCTAGTCTGCCCTGCGTAGGGGTCCGGAAGCCGCCGGGCTTAGAGAAAGGAAACAGCAGCCTCCCCGCGCCTGGAGGCGGAGGCTGGGCAGTGGTAGGCGCTGTGTTTGACGTCACCGGTAGTGGGTGGGGCCCAGCGCGGACCAGCGCGACTTCCGGAACAGAGGAGCGCCCTGTTGTCGGGAGGGAAGTCAGACGCGGCACGTGACCCCTGACGCACGTAGTACGGCGGCATGCGCGGTGCGGAGCGGCGGCCCCTTTGGGCTTCCCTTATCTCTTTAAATTGGGAGAATTGGGCTCTTGGTCCGTGGAAGTGTTGGAATGTGAGCTGTTTTGACCCTTCTCTTTACACCGCTCTCAGTGGCTGGGCTGAGGACTATGAGTCACAGTGCCGGCACACAGGTTGTTTTTCAGGGGTCCCACCTGCCTACTGGGTTAGGGATATCTGAGAGCGCGCCCTGCGGGGGAAGCGGGCATCGTCGCGGTGTAACTTGGGAGGTGCGCGTGCGCGTGCGCGTGCCGGCGCGGTAGGGGCTGCAGGCGGCCTCCCTTCGTCTGCGGGCCCGCAGTGGGAAGGAGTGAGGACGGCGCCACCTCTTGGGTGGAGAGGGGAGAACGGACGGCAGACGAGCCCGGGGGCGTCCCCCGGTTTACGGAAAGGTTCCTGGTCATCCAGGGGAAGAGTTGAAGGCACACCTTAGAAAAAGCTCAGGGTCATAGAGGCTTTCTTTACTGGGCTACGCTAACTGGGGAAGAGTCTTGGAAACATTGTCCCTTAACTTCCACCCGACCTGCTAAGTGACTAACTGGTCACCTGGTGAAAAGGCAATGAAGTCAGAAAGGACTAAATGGTTTTATGTAATAATCGAGGATTATTTTAGGGAGGCTACTGATTCAAAGCCTTAACTAGGATTTTGGAGCTGTGTTGTTCTCCTGTAAACACCGAGAAAGTAACTATTAGTGTTCTCAGCCCTGTAAGGGCAGAGCTCTTCGTTCACGATTCTTCGGTGCACTTTGGTACCTGGCACCTACTACTAGGTTGCCACAGTGTTATGTTACTCTTGAGTTCCCTTCGGCTTCGTAACTGTTTAAACAGAACCAAACAAAGCAGTGTATAATACAGTGGGTCCCTTCTCTGAACCCTTGTCAGCACGAGTAAATATTTCTTGTTAATATTTAATCAGCATTTAGTGGTAACAGCAGTGAACTAGGAAGTTGAGGCTTGAAATTTAATTTCTTAAACACGTGTTTTGAGATGTGCTACAGACATCTAGATATTCTTGATACTTCAGTGTGCACTTGCATAAAAATATATCCCTGTGGAACCAAAAATATCGTCACCTAACAATTTTTTGAATATTATTTCACGTTCCATATTCAGATTTATTGTATTTTCCTAGATGACTTTTTAAGTTACTTAACCGGGTGTGGTGGCACACTCCTGTAATCCCAGCATTCGGGAGGCTGAGGCGGGCCAGCCTGAATGATATTTTGAGATCCTGTGTCAAATCGCCTCTCCCCAAAGTGGTGTCCTGGAACTGTCAGTGATCCTCCCTTCCTCAGTCTCCTGAATGCTGGGATTACATATGTGTCCCACCACATCTAGTTTAATTAAAACAATTTTAATGGTCACCATTTTTGCAATTTACTTTTTACATTCTGATTTTCCAAAAGGATCAGGCTAATTGCCCTGCAGAGTATCACATTTTCTGACTGCTTTTCTGTTAGTGTTGAGCTTATGCTGCTAGTCCTTGTATTATAAACATGGAAATGGATGTTCACAGATCGATTAAGGTTAAAAGATGTTAAGATTTTTGTGGTAGATAATAACTTACCTTGAATTACAGCATCTTTTCTGAGTAATCATCAGTAGTTTTAAAAAATGAATTTTATTTTCTTTCTTAACGTAGTTTGTGAAATGTTAGTTTTGTTTCCTACAAATGTCCAGCTCTCCTATCAACCATTCACTTAATGGGCTTGAGAGTAATTGATAATTCTTGCCCAAATCATTTTATGAGGGGTTCTAAAGGGATAATTTCTTGTTCTTCCATCTAAATATAAATATTACTTTGCATTCTTATTAATAAATAATAATATTAATAAATATCAGTTTGCATTCTTCTATGGAGTAGAAACTTACATCAGCTAAGAACGTTTATTTACCCTGAAGTACAGCTCCTATTGGGAAGGCAGAAAAAAATGCTTAGTTCTTTTATTATCCATTCTGAATTAATTTTATGGCTTCAGAGAGGGACAGATGAAGTTTTACAGCTTTTCCTCTTCTGAATATTATTATGTATTTGTGAATGGAATATGTGGGAGAGTGAGGCTAGATTTTAATCTTTTTGTCTTTCTTGGTTTTGATATGCTCTAGCCAAGTGATCTTTAAACGAGTTGCTTAACCTCATTGATCTTTTTATCCATATAAGCAGAGTTTTGTCAGGGATCTCTACATCTCTATTCTCTGGCTCTTAAAAAACCTCAACTATTTTATTGAGATACATTTACATATCATGAAATTCACCCATTTCAAATATAAATTGAATCATCTTTAGCACTTTCTTTTTCTGTCTTCTTTCTTTTTCTTTTTGTCTCTCTCCCTCTTCTCCCCTTTCCCCACCCTTCTCTCTCCCCCTCTCCCCCTCTCTCTTTGTGTGCAGTGTTGGTTATTGAACCAAGAGCGCCTAACAGAGCAGATACATTCCAAGCTCTTTTTATTTTTTGAGATAGGATCTTGCTATTTTGTCCAGGGTGGCCTTGAACTTGCAGTTCCGCTGCCCCATACTCCAGGAAAGGTGGGATTAGAGGCCTGCAAAGTGATATCTGGCCATTTTTAGTAATTTTATAAAAAATTGCATCCATCACTAAAAATTGCTTCTAGAACTCTTTTATTTTCATCTTTGATAAGATTCCTTATGCCCCTCTACAGCTACACTCTTCTTTTTTTTTTTTTGTGGTACTGAGGTTTGAACTCAGGTGAGGCAGTGTGGCACCACTGAGCTAAATCCCCAGCCAACAGCTAAATTCTTTGTGACTCACTCCTACCTGCTGTACCCTCCTGGCAACTACTGACATACTTTCTGTCTCTATTAATTTGCCCTTTCTGGACATTTCAAAATAATGAAATCATACAATATAATTTCTTCGTGCAGTCTCCTTTCTCTTAGCATGTTTCTGCATTTCATCTACAACATAGCATTTGTCAATTACCAAGCTACCTTTTTAGGCCTAATTAGCCTTTAATTTTTTGGAGTAGTTTATAACAAAATAAAATGTGTCAGTCTTCCTTAAAATGAAATTTTGCTTTTCAATGTTATGTTTGAAGTTTTATTTTCTTATTAAATGGAAGACGGTAGGAATACTATTGAAATGAGTGAAGACATTAATATGTTCTCCCAGTTACATTAATAAAAAGGCTAATTCCAATGGTGACAACGAAATTTGTCTATTTTATCAAAACAAGATATTTAATATTAGTTAAATGATTATTGATTATATTTAGCATGGTGGGTGAATTAGATTACTTTTGACATTTACATCTCCTGCTAAAATAACAAAGGTTGACTTGCAAAGGACAGAATGAAATTACCTTTTATGAAATTATATAGTCTGAGCTGTGATTCAGAGTGTAGGAGGAAGTACCAGTGTTATGAAGCTCGTAGGTACCTAGTACTACTAAGTTCTAGGTTCCAAAAGTGGCTTGTTGTCACTATAGCAACCACCATGCTTATTTGGATTTGAAACCCAGGTAACAAGTGGTGAATAGGAACATCAATGTAAATATATGTTTTGTGTTTTGCTATGCCTGACTGTTGATAGTCAATAGTTTGTTCTGTTTTTCTTGGTATGTTTATGATACTTTTACTATAGAGCTATATTCTTGTTAATGCATTTACAATTCTTTTTAATGTATTCTTTTCTGGAAGAGAAGTTAGCATATAATATTCTCATTAGTTTTTTTTAAAAACATGCTAAGTTCTTTTCTCAGTTAGGTAATTAGGATATTAAATATATTTTTTCCATAGCTTCCTCTCCATTATTTCTTGTTTGGCAACTTGTTTTGGGCTAAATATAAATTTTATTAAGCAGAATCACTTGCAATTTTATAACAAAAAACTGACAGATTTTATTTTAGCTACATCCTGAAATGATGCTTAGGGCTGACGAGAACTGTGTGAATTCAAACATTTCTAAGGAAAAGTGTTTTTTTTTTTTTTGTTCCTAAGGAAGTCCTAGGTTTCAGCTGCAGCTGGCCGGCAGAGGCAACATAACCCCCTTCCAATTATCTCATGGCATGGATCCATAAATTTATCTGGAGGCACAGATCTGGGAAGCTGACTCCTCTCTCTCCATCCTTTTTGGATGGATTGGAGTGGTTCCTAGTAGTATTATAGGCAGCTATGTTAAGCAAGTATTCTAGACAGTTAGATAGGGCTAAGCCCTCCAGAGAGTCATTGCAAAAGATGAAAACACATTATAACCGTGGCCAGAGATACATCTGTTAGAGGTCAGAAACGACCAGGCCTGCATACTTACCCAAAGGACAAGATAAGTAGTAACACCAGGCCTAATGAAGTCTAGCTAGACATCAGTCACCCTGATGGGTAACTAGATCTCTGGACTCATCATTTCATAGAAAAAGTCTTTGTTCTTTCTTTGTACACTTGTTATGTGACTTGTTCCCCCATTGGATCATTATTACCTAAGAGACTATACTTGGAGCCTTATTGGTTGTTCATAGCTTTAACCCATGTACCCACGTGGTTGTGCTTTATAAAACTTACTCTGAAAAGCGGGGTCCCTGCTACTCATTTAGGACCTGCCCTTCCTCTCAGGAGCTATGCTCTCAATAAACATTTTCTACTCTTAACCTCCATTCCTAGAATTCATTCTTTGGTTTTAGAGAACAAAAACTCGGCATATCAGGCATCTGACAGGTTGGGAATGCTAATAGTTCCCTTATATCATTTAGGGATCCTGTTTTATCTCCTGTATCATCCCTATATCAGTGGGATTATATTAAAGGAAAAAGAAATAAAGGATTGAAGGGAACTTGTCTTTGGGTAGGGGAATCTGCTTTGGTAAACTGCAAGACAAAGGACTGGGTCTTTGTTGTTTAGATCTAGATGTAGCAAATGGCTGTTACAGGCATCAGAACTGACCCTAGCTAACTGCTCACAACTTGGTGAATTGCAAGGGCTATATTAATAGCCCAAAGGAGTCAGGCAGGAGGCCCTGGGCCCTGGAGAACTGGGCCCTGTGGGATGTGGTAGGGTGTGAGGAACACTGTAGTTTACCAGAGAATGATGCTTTTCTCAAGTGGGAACATGAACTTTGTTTCTACATTTCCGATTTCTTTAGGAGAAATAAAAATCCTAATTTAAAAAAAAGGCAAACTTTTG